TATGGCTGGGTAGGGACATTGAGATTCAGTACAGCTGGGTGAAGAGGAGTGTCAACTCATTTGTGGATGGGTTGGCCAAGCAAGGAGTGAATAGGGAGGCTGTTTTTTGTGCTAGTTTTTAATTTTCTTTGCATTCCCTGTGTTTTCTGTTTTGGGGGAGCTAAGTTATTTTATCTCCCTTTGTATTCTTTTCCCTCTATTCTCTTAATTTAATGAAGTTGATGTTATTGATCAAAAAAAAAAAAAAGGGCTTTTGGGATGTAAGAACTACAAAGAAAATTCTGATCCCTGCCCAGTGCCTTATATTTGTTTTTATTTGTTTTCCTTATTAATGAAATGCTTTACCTTTTTTTCAAAAAAAAAAAACAAAATAAAAGAGAGATGAGAAGAAATAATGTTATATTTATTGCAATTACCTTTCGCCTCAGGGACAAATCTGGCACCTCCAGTGCCCGAGCTCGCTGTTCCCTTGCCTGATTCCTCTTCTCTATTTCAGCATTTGTCTTGCGAAGGAGAAACCAGCGGAAAAGGGGAATTGCAAAGAAAGAAGCAGCATAAATCTGCATTAATTTTATATCATTAGTAGGAATGGAACAAAGTAGAACCGATGCAACCCAGAGTCACAGAAAATAATCACAGGTTTCAATTTCATCTTCTTAAAAGCACATAATTCTCTGCCAGAGTCAGAAGCATTCATTTTATATTTTTATTATTAGCATTCATTTTATATTTTTATTATTAACATTCATTTTAGTACTATTTGCATTCATATTCTTAATACAATATACTTTACCCATCTTCAAGAGAGAGAGAGAGAGCATTCATTTTATATTATTATTAACTTAATGATGTTTCTCAATTCTGATACAAAGGAAACCTTGCAAAAGTACACAGTAATGATGGTGGCTCATTGGGTGAAAATTCTGCCAATCTTTGAACCATTCTCATTGGAGGACATTGTAAGAGGTGGAAACAGGTAGCAACTTTGAACTCAGCAATCAGGTCTAATCCTTCTTGTGGGTTCTACTTAACATGAACCAAATCAAACTCAATTTTGATGGAAGCGGCTTAGGTAATTCAGGATTTTCTGGTGTTGGTGGGGCTTTACGGATCATTATGGCAGAATTTTGGTCCTATTTTCTGGGAGCCTGGATCTCCTTCAAGCAAAAATTCTGCTCACACAGCATCCGACCACACATTGAGAATATCTCCCATACATTATGTTTAATTCATGGGACATGTTTCCAATGTACAGAGAGGTAACCATGCTTTCATGGCGTGTGCAGAGTTTTTTCTTGCAGAGAATGCCATCACATTTTCTGGTCTGATTGGATATGGTGATTCTCTAAGGGCTGAATTGTCAGCTCTATTACAAGGAATTGAAGTGGGGAAAACCCTAGGCTTTTCAGATATCATAGTGGAGGGTGACTCAAGTATTGTGGTGAACTGTCTAATGAATGATAAACCAGGTCCATGACGACACAGACATACAATAAGAGAAATCAAGAAGCTGACAAATGAATGAGTTCAATACTAGTTGTCTAGAAGAGAAACAAATAGACTGGCAGATGCCTTAACCAAATAAGGAGCTGTTGTTAGGGGTGTGATGGAGACTATCAGTTATAACTTTTATAAAGCTACTGTAAAGAATTATAAGGTTGGGGTGTAAAGGCTTAGGTAGCGAAGCCTGCCTAAAGACTGTACTTGTAATTTTAGCTATGTACATTTTTTATCAATAATTAGCTATGTACGTTACACATAATTTACATTAACAAAATTGAAAGGCACCCAAAAATAAAATAAATAAATAAACAGCACACAGTTCCTGGAGAATGTTAAGTGTCTTTATCCTAGACAATTTGCAGCTCATTTTAATGCATCAATTAAAAGGTCCGATTCCTGAATGTATAACAATTGATCATTTAGAAGAAAGAAGCAAACATAAGTTGTTGGATATTTACAGGAATAAAAGAACAGGGCATGTAACTTTTTCTTAAGTTTCAATGTATCTCAACACCATTGATGTCCATAAAACTGGCGCACTTTTGGGTTTCAGGAGTAGGATGGAGTTAATCCTAACGGTTCCAGAGCTATTCATTGATAAAATGATTGAAACAGCCAAGTTATTTACAGCTGATCTAACATGTTTTAACTTCCAATACTTGATGTGATCCCATCCTGGTATAAAATCATATATTGGCTTCAAGTGTTGCTAATCCAATGTAATCTAATCAGCCCTCAGCAATGTTGGGAGTCTACAAAAATTACGAGTCTCAAGGAGAATCAACTAAGATCTCCATACAGTGGAATCAGGAAACAAAATACAGTCAATAGCTATATGATTGACTAATTGACAACAAGCAACTTATTCATTTCTGCAGTAAATCAGGGCAAACCTGAAGTAGAGGAAATATGTTGGTGACAAATGAAATAAACCCACTCTGTGTAACTGCAGTATTTCTTGAAATAGAAAGAGAATTATTGATGTTAGAGATGCAAAATAATAGGAAGACACTTTATCATTAAAAAGAGGCAGTAGAGAAAATATTAGGGCAAGTAGAAGCTTACTTTAACATGGTACCAAGAATAATAACTCCAAAAAGATTTAGTCCACCCAATCCTATAACCATTGCCCTCTCTGAGGTCCCTGTGTTACTGCAGAACATCAACTGCCCATGTCAGACAGCATAGTTAAAAACAAAATTTACTACCTGATTTAGAGATTCATTTGAGGATTAGAAGGAAACCTGAATCGCCATATCTTCTCCTTGAAAAATTTCTCAACCCCTCCAACCCAATCAGCCCATCTTTTCCCAACGTATTCTTTCTTTCCACTCCTCTGAGAAGAAGCTGTTCTCTGAAGTGATGGGAATCGGTAGAGAATGTTTCCCTGTTTGACAAGAAGATATATGAAGAAAAATAGTTCTTGAAATTATATGTAGCACAATGTAGAAGAATTTCATGTCAGATATTAGGAGAGACAGAAAAATGTTACTTGATGAATAATTGGTTCAAACTGATCCTAAAACATAATGATATAGTGATGAAACCCAGCGAGACATTGATTTTTTGGGGATTAAAAGATAAGAGGATGGTTGGATTAGATCGGGTTCACCCAATCTAGAGTGGGGGAACACCAGAAGAATCTAATAAAAGAAAAAAAAAATTGAAGAATTTGTCTATTGGGACTTGCCTGAATTAATTCTTGCTTCTAGGAATCCTAAATGAACTCTATTGAAGAATTTATGGGCTTTTGATAGCTTAATCGCTACAAGCTGACTTTTTGTTGATAAAAAAAATAAAAGAAATACTTGTGAATAAAAAATAATTATTAGAACACCAAATAATATTAAGAAAACACTCAAGCAGCAACAACCTTGCCAGTACAAACATTCCGAACCACTAATCCTCACCATCCTCAGAGCATAAATAGAGGTTCAAATAATGAACAAAAAGAAATCTTCAACATGAAGAAAAACCAGATGCACCAAAAATCTGAAATACCAATCAAACTTCACCAAGAAAAAAACTCAAACCTTCTCAACAATCAAATTAAATCTCATAAAAAATTTGCAACTTTTTCTCAATTCATTTCTATTAACTCAACCTTCAACTTCAAACTTCTAATTAGTTAAAGCCCTCTCCTCAATGAATTTCTTGTGCCCCCCATTTAACAATTCCATAACCTCCTAAACTTCCTCTCTGTTATTCCCACTACTTGTACCCTTAATTCCACCCTCCTCACCCCCTCTCTTACTCCCCATAATTCTTTGTGTGATTCTTCAAGAATTAGAGAGAAAGAAGAGAAAATAAAAACCTAGAACCACTCAGTGGGGTTCTAGAATCACTATGAAGTGTGGGAATCACTTAACCAAAAAACAAACAAACAAAGAAATGTAACTTCTGTTTTCTGGGTAGAAATAAGAGAAAATAGAGAAGAAGCAGAGAAAGGAAGAGAGTAGACAGAAGAGAAGAGAAGAAGAGAAACAGAAAAATGAAGAGGCAAAAAACTTAGCTGGTGGCGCCAGATTTTTCTTATATATTAGGGCAACACACTAATCACATAATAAAGAGTAAAAAGACCACAGTACCCCTGCGGCCCATAATACATAAAAAACTAACAGTTTTAACACTCCCCCTCCAGTTGGGACATAGATGTCAATTATGCCCAACTTGTCACACAAGTCATTGTGCCACAGATGATGAAGGCCCTTTGTGAAGATATTTGCCAAGTTGTTCTTCAGAGCTAGCATAGGGAGTACACACTTCTCCACTTATGATTTTCTCCTTGATGAAATGCTTGTCAACTTCAATATGTTTAGTTCTATCATGGACAATTGGGTTGGCTGCAATGTTGATAGCAGCCTTTATTGTCACAATGAAGTGATATGGGACTATCAACAGTAAATCCCAGTTCACCTAACAAGCTCTTTATCCACATAACCTCAGCAACTCCATGGGGCATAGCTCTATATTTTTCTTCTGCACTGGACCTAGCCACCACATTTTATTTTTTGCTTCTCCAAGGAAATAGCGCAAGGGACCTAGATCTTTCCCCTCAAATTGTGTGGCTAAGAACTCTTTTAATTTTTGTATTTCTAATGTCTAGTCACCAGTAACTACTATGTCATCAACATACATAATTAGAGTTGCAATTTTTCCTTCACCCTTCTTCACAAATAGTGTATGGTCTAACTGACACTGTTTAAACCCCATTTGTTGAACAACTAAATCAAACCTGCTAAACCAAGCCCCCGGTGACTGCTTTAACTTGTACAAGGATTTTTTCAACCTGCATACCTTTTGCTCACTACCTTTTGCACAAAAACCTGAGACTGGGCCATGTACACTTCTTCTAAATCACCATTCAAGAAAGCATTTTTTGTGTCTAGTTGATGAAGGTCCCAATCAAAATTAGCTGCCAAAGAAAGGACTCTAATGAAGTTCATCTTGGCAACAGGCACAAAAGTCTTTGCATAGTCCACACCATACACTTGTGTAAACCCTTTTGCTACCAACCTAGCGTTGTACACTCCATTGTACCATCACCCATCACCAACCTAGCCTTCTACCAACTCCTAAGTGCCATTTTTATGTAAGGCATCAATTTCTTCATCACATCTGTCCATTCAAGTATAGATAAGGCTTCTGCCACATTCTTCGGGATAGAAACATTGTCAATGGAGGTAAGAAAAGCACAAAAAGAAGGTGAAACATAATCATAGGAAACAAAATGAGAGATAGGATGCTTAATAGTATAAGATCTAACACCCTTTCTCTTACCAATAGGAACATCCAAATTATAAATAGGAAAAGTATCAACATCAAWAGGGTCAGACATATCAATAGGAACAAGAATACCTAGGTGAGGAAGATTTGCCTATGGAGAGTCTGATGGTATTGGTGGCATAGCTTCAGGTTGTTCCATGGTTGTTGAACTTTGTTGGCCCTTATTACAATAGAAGAAGACACGAAATGGAGGAGGATCAGAAAGAGAAGGGAGTTGGACTTGAGCTTGAGCATGTTTCTCCTCCACCCTACTCTCCCCTTGAGAAAAAAACATGAAAAAAAGGAACATTCTCAAAAAAGGAGACATCCATGGAAATAATACTTACGAGAAACAGGATCAAAGCACCGATAGCCCTTTTGAGATGAAGGATAACCCAAGAAAACACACAAGATAGCATGGGGGTCAAGTTTACCACGAGTAGGAGATAAGTTATGGACAAAGCACCGACAACCAAACACACGCATTGGAATGGAGAAACAAGGAGCCTTGGGAAACATCAGCTGATGTGGGGCCTTGTACCCTAACATCCGAGATGGCATACGGTTGATAATATATGCAGTAGACGTAATAGTTTCCATCCAAAAACGTTTAGGAACATTCATGTGCAATAACAGCCCACGAGCAACTTCAAGAAGGTGTTAGTTCTTTCTTTTAGGAACACCGTTTTGTCGAGATGTTTTAGCACAAGAGCTTTGATGAAGAGAACCGCATGAGGCAAAGAATTCTACGAGATCACTATGGAAATATTCTTTCGCATTGTCAAACACAGACTAGAAGATGTGGATTTCAGTCTGAAACTGGGTAAATACCATGCATTGAAAAATTTGCACAATTTGAACCATCTTTCTAGCAACCTATTCTTTTTGTACATTTTTGGGAAGCTTATTGAGGAGGAGGAAGGAAACTTTGCATTATGGATTTCTTATATTCTAACAGGTATTGGAGCAAACCTTGTTTCCTGGTTAGTTCTTCCAAGAAATGCAGTCTCAATTGGAGACTCTGGTGCAGTTTTTGGACTCTTTGCTATTAGTGTCCTTGTCAAGGTTGGTCAATTCTTACTACCGAAAAACATAATCAGGAGAAAGGACTAAAGTTTACTTTTTAACTACCTACAATATTGGGTATGTCAAGGTAGAAATATCTTGTCCAGGGATGCTTTAGTTCAAGGCCGATGAGTCTCATCAGGGTGGAGGTAGTATTCTGGTAGTTGAGAGGAAGAACATGGGAGAGTTCGTGGAGGTAGGCTGATGGAAAAAATCCTTGAAGATTGAAGCAAAGGAGTTTTTATTTGAGGAGCATAGATTAAATGGTCAGCTGAGCTTGAAAATCAGGGAAGCAAAGAAAGGGCTGGTGTTGTTAGAAGGTTTGAGGGTAATTGAAGGGTTTAAAGAGTTTGTGAAAGATGCAAGTAACAAAGGCAAACAAAATAGCTGGAAAGAGTTTATCTCAGAAATTGGAAGAAGGTTTGTAGTAGAGTGTAAGAGAAACACCAAAGGCTTCTTCATTTCTTTGACAAAATATTTTGGCAAGGGTAGGAAGCAGATGGTCTGCTTCCCAGAGGGAAGGAAAAGTCAGGGATGGAAGGCAGTTCATGGAGTATTATGTGGACTGCTGCAACGGTTGGGTGCTAAAAGAGAAGTAAAAGAAAGAAGGAAAGTGGTTCTACTAGCCTGGACAGCAATAATAAGCAAGAGACTCTCATAGTGACAGCTGGGGCAGGTAAACACAGAATGGGAGTAAACATACAGAGAGGAGATTGGGAAAGCAAACTGATAGTTAAAGCTTCAGGTCACATTTTAGATTGGAGGAAAGTTGAAGAAGTGTTAACAGCATGCTTGAAATTGAAAAATACATTTATTTTAACACCATTTGAGAAAGATAAGGCTTTGCTGGATTTGCTTGAGAATAGAGTAGAAGTTGAGGCTCTCAATATCCAAGCTGAACTTGGGAACCTCACATTATCAAGATGGTGTCCGGGGTCAAACTCCAAGGATCTCTTTGTTGAAGATGGAGTRCTGGTGCGTCTTTTAGGCCTTCCCTTTCACTTGTGGAAGCAAGAAATTGCTGAAGCCATTGCTTTGATGTGTGGAGGATCACTAGGAGGTGTTTTTTGGGAGACCTCTTTTCAGCTTCCATTCCATTGAATGGAGTAAAAACCTGAGGAGATTCCTCAGAAGATAGAGGTGTGATTTGAAGGAAAATTTTACTCAGTATGGCTGGCTTCTTCCATTGAATATGTGCTTTGGAAAGAGGCTCGTAGGGAGGGAGATGATAAGGTTGAAGAAGAATTGTGTGGCAATAAAGGATTGGATGGTTCAAACAAGAATAGCTCTTTCACTGAAATGGATAAACAAGTGCTGGAGAAACAAAAAGGCAGTTTTCAGGGGAAGTATGTGTGTAGAAGCAGTAAACAATCCGGGGGGCGGCAGGTCCTTTGCACAGGTGGTAACAGGCGCCAATATGCCTTTTTTAAACAAGGAGAAGGGGTTGGTTCAGGGAGGAACCGAACCCAGGCCTAACAAAACCAAACTGGGCCATGGGCTGAATGTGCATGACTTTTTTAAAAGTCACGTGAACCCGCAGTCTTATAAGCAAGGGCC